TGTCCAGACTAGTGTTGAACTCTCTCTATAGTCCAGAGAGGCTTTACACAGGCCATTTTTCTATTTAGTCTCTTGAGTAGCTGGATTACAGACCCGGCTACTTGTATCTTTTATTTAGAACCTCCAGTTTGGACAATCCAGCTTCCACGCGGGACAGTGCTGGAATGCTGTAACAGGGAAATGGAGAACCTGCCACTTTCCATTCTCAGCCTCCTGGGCTTTCAAACAGGTGGCTCTGTGTTTCTTTCTAGCATGTTGAACCTCTCCCTGGGAGTTGTGTATGCTTGGAGCAGTCTTTTAAACTTAGGGATTCCCCCTGTGGATGCTACTATATGCAGGCTCGGCTCCTGGGAGTTACAATCTGTTTCCCCACGTTGGACTGGGAGTGCCCTTGGGCAGGGACCATGTTGCTCTCCTTCCCCACTCCACAGCACCCAGCCAAGCACAGGTTTGTAGAACTAAGCCAAACCCAGCCAGGTCCTTCCTTTGCTCTTTAAGATCAGCAGTTCCTGGGTACCCTGTGCTGGGAGCTTATTCTGCTACCCACAGGCTCTTCCTCCCATGTCAGCTGTAGAGCCTGGAGTTGCCACTCTGGGTGTGCCCCATGGACCTCCCCAGAGAGGATGCTCCATCACTCTGAATCTTCAGAGACCTTTCCTCAAACTGAACCTTGCTGGTTTTATAAAGGGTGTTAAATAATTGGCCCTCTGGAGCCAATTAATTAAATACTACATGTTTGTGTGTGTGTTAGCGCCAGAGACAAATTCAGTGCTATGTAGGGGCACAGCAGGGCAATTGCTTTGTATGAGATGGTGTGGGAGTCAACAGGATAGAGGTGAGCCATATATGGTGTCAGTGGGCCCCAAATACTGCCAAGCTGGGACTGACAGGGAACCCCAGGTCACTGGTTTTTAGCTTGGAGGACAGGATGAAGATACTTTCCAACTTGCTTTAGACTCCCCTGATAGCTCACAGAACTAGGAGTCTGGGTATGGTGGCACATACTTGTAATCCTGGAACTTCAGATATAAAGGCAGTAGGGTTCAAGGTCAGCCTTGGCTACCAGAGTAGGTACAAGGCTAGCCTAAGCTACATGAGACTTTGCCTCAAACAAAATAGAACAGAAAACTCCCCCAAATATTCAAGGCACCCTCCATCCCTCTCAGAAGAGCCCTGCTCCTCATCTAAGCCATCCGCTGGCTTCCCCTGGGTGCCATCGCCATGCCCCCTTTCCCCACTCCTCACCTCCTCAGCCCCAAAGCGTCTCTTCACACTCTCCTTTTTAAGCCAATGCTTTCATCCCTTTCACTATCCCCTTCCTCAAAAGAGGATTCTGCTGTACAAATCCTATCATGTCCTTAACTGCCATTCAATTCTCCACAGAGATTGCTTGGTATTTGCGCTCACCGAGGACCACACTAGCCACCATCACTACTGGACTCCCTGTGTAGTCTACAGTCCTCTTGTTCTCTGAGGGTAGTCAGGGCCGCAAGCCAGAGCCTCATGCTTTTATTCATCCCTTTCTCTTTTTGATCCACAACCAACACTCCTGATCATACCTCAAGAGGAGCTCTCTCAAATCCAGGTCTCTTCATAGCCAGTGAAATGAAGACATACCATATTCACCGAAAATGCTACAGTCTACGTGTTCAGGTGCTTGTGTAAGGAGCACACACCTGGGTTCACTTTGATCTTCAAAACCACCCCATATAACAGATAACCACCCCATATAACAGATACCGTTATTCTCTCATCTTGCTTATGAGACCGAGCTACACAGAGATAGACGATCGTACCCAGGGACACACAATCACTTAGCACAGACCCAGGGTTTGAAGTGGCTCTGAGGATACACTCGGCATCTTTGCTCTGATCCCAGACTTACCCGCTGGTGTTCATTCCACCATTCCACCTCTCCTTTCCTATGTCCATTCTTCATACATCCTCCTTCCCTTCCTCAAGCCCATGGCCCATCAGCGCCCTGTCCTTGACCAATATTAGTTACGTTTGGAATGCCTGTGACCCACTACTTTCTGTAGGAGAAGCTCTGAGCTTCATGGCCAGGCACTCAGAAGCCTTCTTAACGTGGCTCAACCCACAGCTCCGGCTTCATGTTCTTCCAGCTCATCCCTTGGTCCTCGCCAGTTCCCCCCAAACTGAGCCTTTTCTCCACATGAAGTCTTCATTCTCAGTGTCTCCTGTGCCTGGGACTCTCTTGCCCCTTGCTGCCAGTCAGAGTTCCATATTTCCTTACCCATCCACTACCAGACCACCTTTACAGAGATTCTCAGGCAGCACCCTCGTTGCTTGTGGAAGTCTCTGCTCACACTGTGATTCCCTTCTTACAGGGGACACCGTCTGTCTCACATATAAGAACAACTAATAGTCAGGAAACCAGCAGAGGGTCCCAGATATGACTTGCTGGGTCTTCCTATCTTTGTTCTAATATCACAAAGGATTCTTTTCACTGAATAGCCCAAGATCAAAAAGTCTAGAAAGGCTTTCTGGAACATTCCATTTTCACTTGCCTCCTACAGGATGACTCTCGACCCATTTCTTTTACAAGAAAATAAATAATGCCAGCTATGGTAGCACACCCAGAAGTCAGAGGCAGGAAGATCAAAGGTTCACGGACAGCCTGAGTCACTTGAGATCTGTCTCAAACAAACAAGCAAACGAACAAGAAGTGGAAGCCCGAGTCCAACTCATTAGAATGTAGTGGGTGGTAAACGCAGTGAGAGAAACCTCTTCATTTCATGAGGAAACTGAGGCCCAGAAGGAAGAGACGTGTGTCAGGTAAGCAACTAGCAAAGGGCAGGCAATACTGGAGACCAGGACTTGCCTCCATCTGGGCATCTGGCCTCTGCCTGCTGCCTTTCAACCCCATTGTACCTGCTCTGGGTCTAAGAGGCAGACACCTCTGCTCCTGGGTCCTTTCCCTGCATACAACTATCTCCTAAAGATCACTGGCTCAGCGTGGCTATGCTTCATGCAAAACACCCCTGCCTTATACAACTTCAGGACTGCAGTTCATCCAGCCCCAGGCCGAAACTCTTCATTGTACCAGCTAGCGTGGGGCTTTGCACAGGGGCGGCACCAAGGGCAGCAGCTCTTTCAGTCTGGGGAGTCTGACAACACTTTGTTTGTGTCTGAGCACAGCCATGCTTTCTTCCTGTCCTCGCCCCACTCCCTCTGTCTCCCATTTAGTCATAATGAGGTCATACTCAATCTCCGCTCCCAGGCCTCTCCCCAAGGATGGTGTGTCTAGCTGGAGATTCAGAGGAGGATTCGACAAAAGAACCAGGGGCAAATAAGCTCTAGAATCAGAAGTGTGGGTTCAAATCCTGCCCCAGCCAGTTGACCAATTGCATGACCTTTGTCAAATTGCTTAATCGATCAGGTCCCTGCTGAAAAAGGCGGGGCTGCCTGGAAGGCAGTTTCCTCACCCGAAGAGTCAGAATAGCAACACATAATTATTTCCTGGACCACAGTAGGAATGATATGAGATTGAGCCTGCAGCATTGGCGGTCAGTGATTTTGGGCTGCCTTCCCTTTGTGTGAAGTACAGAGGAAGTAGATGTGACTGCCAAGTAGAAGCCTATACCCCCACTTCATCCAGCTAAGGGGGGGATGAAGGTCTGAGCCTGCTGAGATCTAACGGCCTTGGAGGGACAGGAGCAGAGAAGAAGAACCTTCCAGAGGCTGTGACTACGCCTATGAGCAAAGCCCCAGGAAAGAATTCAATACAGGTCTCTCCCTCCAAACTCCTTCCCAGAAGAAGAAAACTATGTCCCGTCTGTTCTTGTCAGTATTAAGAAACCAGAGCCCAATCAGTGGCAAGGCCACACTGAAAAGATGCCAGGACCTCTGTGTGGATGCCTGAGCTATCCAGCACAAGGACTTCTCAAACGATGTCACATAGGTGACCAAACACACTGCCTGGCAGCTGGCATGGCCACCTTTTAGTGTGAGTTCACCTCCTCGACTACTTACCAAATCCCAAGGGTAGTGAGAATCTGACCCAGGCTAAGGGTCCTGAGGCCTCAACCTACCCAATACTCTTTCAGAGTTATAAAGTCCTTGGATGTCTTTCTAGCATCAAATTAGCCTGGTTGAATCCCCCCCACTCCTCTTTCTGAGGGTTGAGGAAGGAGGAGTTGAGACAGGATCTAACTGCACCCCACCCCACACTGGGCTAAAACTCAGTAATCCTGCCTCCTACAGCACTGACTATACCTGAAGGGGAGGGACTCCAATGTCTGGCTGGCTGGAATTTTCTCTCAGATAAGAATCTGGCTCCCATCTAATGACATTGAGCAAGAAGTTGATTCTATAGCCTTCCTTTCTAGTTATTGCAGAATTTATTATACTGCATAAGCTGGGAGTCCTTCTTCATAGCTAACCCAGATCTCTCTTTAATAAGGCCTATGGCCCCTGGTCTCCAGGGCAAAGGGAGAGCAGTTGGTTTTCATTTGTTGGTAAAATTCTCAGCCTTCCTGGTGAATGAAACTGGATTACTTGCCTGCCTGAGAGGTTTTGGTTAAGGATTCTAAATTATCCCCTTTCTAACTATGAAGAATGAACAGCCTTTTTAGGAAATGTTGGTATCATGGATGGAAACAAAGGATTCCTGCATTCCAGGCAAGCACATTACCCCTGAGTTGCTTCTCCAGCCCAGGACTCCGCAAACTCCTCTCCATCATCAGAGAGCCCACATCATAGATCCACTGAGGCTCAACCAATACCGGAAGAGCTGAAGCTCTGCAGGTAGCTATGCCCACTACATGGTCTTCATGTGATTCACCCCCAAGCTGCTCCACTAATCAGAGCTCTCTAGAAGGCAGAGCCCAGCTCCAAATTGTGATGGTGGCTAGGAGGATGGACTCAGGGTCCTTTCATCCTGAAAGCTACACGACTGAGAATGATTGCCAACAAGTGTTATATTTCTCTGACACCCGCAGAATTTACAGGATAAAATGTCTTCTGAACCAAGTCCTTACCTGTCTGTTGAAATCCAGGCCATTTCGATCATTTCCTGGAAAGAGATAACAGATACATGTGTATTAGTCCCCCGTGTAATCAGAGGAGGGTGGCAAGAGGAAAAAGGATGCTGGGAGAGGAGCATACTTCCCCTATAGCCAGAATCTTCCTGTTCATCTTGTTGTCTGGAAACAAAGGGGAAAGTCACCTCTAGAAGAAGGAGCAGCCATGGAAAGTCACCTTGAGGGCAGGCTGACTTGCCCAAAGTCACATGGGAAGACCCACAGTGCCTGTTGTTGTTGTTTTGGTTTGGTTTTTGGTTTTTTGAGACAGGGTTTCTCTGTGTAGCCTTGCCTGTCCTAGACTCGCTTTGTAGACCAAGCTGGCCTCTAACTCACAGAGATTCACTTGCGTCTACCTCCCTGAGTGCAGGGATTTCATGTGTGCACCACTGGGCAGGACTGTTCTGTCGCATAAAGCCTATGTGCATCCCTCAGGCTTTCTGTCCTTCACTGATCAGCAAGAGGGGGCTGGTCAGAGACACTGAAAGGACAGTCCTCAGCCAACTGAGATTCCCCACCAGCCCCGCTCTCTAGGCTTTATAATACCTATGTCATGTCTGATATGTAGGTATCTGTCCTATCCCTCCAATCCCTGGCCTTGTATTTCTTGTTTTGTTCATCTCATCTCATTTCTTTTCATTGTTTGCTATTTTAAGATGGTCAAGTGTGGCTGGGGTGTGCTGGCACATTCTTGTAATTCTAATACTCAAGGCTCTCAAAAGAACAAAACCAAAAAAAAAAAAAAATGGTGGTCAAGTATAGTCCAAGCTGGTCTTTTTCCTGAGGATGACTTTGAATTCCTGATCCTCCTAACCCCACTCCCTAAATTCTGGGGTTACAGCTGTGTGCCACACCCAGACTTTTTCTTTTCTTTTCTTTTTCTTTCTTTCTTTCTTTCTTTCTTTCTTTCTTTCTTTCTTTCTTTTTTAAAGTAGGAGTGCTCTATTTGCATGTAGATCTGCATGCCAGAAGAGGGCATCAGATTACATTATAGGTGGTTGTGAGCTACCATGTGGTTCCTGGGAATTGAACTCTGGACCTCTGGAAGAGCAGACAGTGCTCTTAACCGCTGAGCCTTCTCAGCCCCCAGCCTTTTTATTTCTTGATAAATATTACACTGAAAAAGTAAATACCTGCTTAACAGGAAGCTGCTGGGTGCAAAGAAGCCTAAAACGACAGGGACGTTGCTCTGTAGGGACATAACCATAATTAATATTTGGGGGCAATTTTTAACCTCCCCCTGTTTTCTAAGGCAGGGTCTCATGTACCTAGACTGCTCTCAGACTTGCTATGTAGCTGAGGATGACACTGACTCCTGGTCCTCCTGCTTCTGCTTCATATGTGCTGGGATTACAGGCATGCACTACCGTGCTGGATTTACACTGTGCATAACTGGAATCTAGAACTTTGTGCGTGCTAACCAATCAGCCTACCAGCTGAGCCCATCTCCTGCCCACCTTATGGCCTTTTCATTTGAGTTTTTCTTTGTGGATGTTTCTCATCTGTTCAGACTCTTATCTTTTTTCCAGGAAGTAAATGTGCTTTTTATATGCTATTAAAACTATGCCTACTGGGCTAGAGAAATGGCTCTAGAGGTTAAGAGCACTGGCTGTTCTTCTTGAAGGTCCTGACTTCAATTCCCAGCAACCACAGGTGGCTAATGGCCATCTATAGTGAGATCTGGTGCCCTCTTCTGGTGTTCAGGCACACATGCAGGTAGAATACTGAAAAAATAATAAATAAACAAATCTTTTTTTAAAAAAGAACCATGCCTACTTCTCTTCTGTTTATATACTTCATTTTAACTGCTAAATAATATTCCATTATACGGTTATACCATAGTTTGCTTAAACACATAGTTTTTGCTAGATAAACTGAAGGAGAAAACCAGCTTCTGCAAGCTGTCCTCTGAGGGTAGGTATGGAGACATGGCTCAGCTGTTCAAAATACTTGCTGCTTGCTCTTCCAGAGGACCCATGTTCTATTTCTAGCACCTACATTGGGCAGCTCATAGCTTTGTATCATTCCAGCTCCAGGGGATCAGATGCCCATTTCTGGCCAATGCCAGAAACATATACGAAGATACTCATACACACACACACACACACACACACACACACACACACACACACACACA